TAGTAATATTTACTATATGATTTAATCAAATGTAAGGTATACATCTAATATTATAATATATTACATATTAATAAAAAATATTGTAAAAATAAAGATACTTTTATGTTTAAGGTAAATAAACAATATATTTAAATATAATATACAATATAGTAACTCATGACATTTTAAACATTCAATTTTCTTAGTTTCTTCAATAAACTTTCTTGACCCATTACTGGTAATACTTATAAGAAATAATTAAACCTACTTGGTTGCATAGTATGTACCGATTGCGGCAAAGGCCACGTCGCGACGCGTCGTTAGACGCTGTGGATCACGTGATGTTTCTACATCTCGCCTCTGTTGGCTTACCAACCATGTTATATAAGCTCAGGTATTTCTTTGCTTTGGGTGTGTTCCACTACTACAAGTTGCTCGACGGTGACGTGTCGACACTGATGATACCCAATATAGGTCAAAACGCCTGTCTGTCGGTATTTGAAGTTGATGGAACGCACTCAAAACAAAAAACTTTGGCGATGTGTAGGTTCAATTCTTTCTCATAACATTTTTGTATATAAAAAAGTACAATAAATATGTTACAATTTTTAATTGTTAACATATAAAAATATTTGATTTTAAAATATTTTATATTTAAAATGGCAACATAATATTTTAAAATTTACTATACTTATTAGTAATGGAAAAAATCTAATTATAATAAGAATTAAAAACAAAATTGGTTGAGAATAATAATATTTTACCTTAAGGTTTAGCATACATGGATATTTAAAAATTACTAAATATGCATAGTATCTTGCAATATACAAGATAGTTGTCCCAAATAGTAATATAAATTATAGTAAAGGGTATTATAATTATGGTAATCAGCATTATACTTTTCTCTCCGTGTAATTTTCCCCAAGTAAGCAAGTATGATTTAACACTACAGCACTGAAGATAAAGTAATTTTACACTGTATTAAAAAGTGTTAATTTACCTAAAATCGTATACTTCTACACTTCCTGGGTAAAATTCCACTTTTGTTTAGTGTAAATTAACACTACGTTGGAAAAGTTCTAATTTTAGAAAAGTACTTTTACTCTTTTAGTGCAAACTTTTAGTGTAAATTAACACTATTATTTGAGTAAAACCTATTGGTGGTAGTGAATAAAACGAAAAGGTAAATAAAGAGAAACATTTATTTGGAACAAAAATCTATGACAATTATCTTTTAAAATATAATTTTATATTTGAGTCGTATGGCTGGCTTAAGCAAAATGGTTCCTTAAAACGTAAAAGTTTTAGATCAATGCAATGTTTTACTGGATGTTAACTTGTAAGCAATGAATTATCTTGAGAATTCATCAGTAATCCATTTTTCTGTTATAAGAAATGGGTGATCCCATTGGCGTTAGGCTGTATGTCAGGGATTTACCATACGTGTACAAATTTTCCATAATATTAATAAAAATGTAGGTATAGGTTAATATAACAACCATTACGCTTGAAAATAAAAAGTAAATCAAGTGTATATGTATTTATATTATTAATGTTTCAAGTACCCGACCTACTGCCGTAAATTATTGATATATAATATAGGTCGGGTATGGAGTCCATACTATGGACATCCTTTTAACATATTGGTATTTATTGAGTATTAAGGCTTAAAGAAAAAGGAAGAATAATAAAAAATAAGAATGTCCCCTTATGGATTCACCGTAATTAAAATCTAACTGAACAAAAATGGCACACTTCTACAACGCGGTATCTCCGGATATGCACTGCGTAGGTAGATAGGTACCAACCAAACATTTTAAAACGCATTTCGGTTATTACCATTTTTTTCAGTCTATTTTTCCACTATTGGTGAAATTTAACTTTAATTGTGATACAATGTGCACTAGTAGTGTAAAGAAAAACGAGCTCTTAGTAACATCAAAACAGACAAAGAAGTTGGCATGCACTGTAGTGTACATTTTGTCACTATTTAACACATTAAGTGGTAATAAGCACTCGCATTAAGTTTTCCTACCCTTTACATAAATAGTGTGCATGTACCAATGAATAATGTTCATATTCTTTAAATGTGTTTAATAAAGTTAATAAGCACTAAATGCTACCTAGAACTTTTACACTTACAAATCAACTCTAATATTTTTACCCCTACACTAAAAAATTTACACGGGCAAAATTGTTTACTATGCAAAGTCAAATAAATTGTGTAAAAGCAAATCTGTACAAAATATTTTATCTATGAATATATTAATGGTGTCTAATGCTTAAGTATCACAGTTTGAAACAGTTCTAAAATATCCCTGCTACTAAATATTAAAGATAACTTAAAACACTGCAAAAAGCTAGACGAACGCAGCGAAAACTAAGAAGGAAAACAGAAGGGCAAAAACACTGAGAACAGTAAAGTTTTAGATGAAAAATAGCGGCGTTTAGCGTACTTATAAAGTTGGGAAGCACCTGGTTGTTCTCAGGTTATTTAAACGTTTCTTAATACAGGCCATTATTAAGGATTCCAGTATGGTAATGAAAAGCTTCCTCTCTGTTTATTTCTTAAGCTTCCTAAGCTTGTTTGCCGGATTTTAATGCTTTCATTATAAATCTATACAAAATTTTGTATATTGAAGTAGTTGTTAATTTAAAGTCAATTTTTGAAACGATTTTATTTATATACTGTAATTTAAATATTGTACGCTATTGGTGATTCCAAAAAAAATGGAAATTCATTCGAAGGCCTTAAAAGAGTGGGGATATTTTTCAGTGGCGACGACACACCTTAAAAACCCTTTTTTATGGGATTTTGTTGAATTCTTAATTCTTCAGATAATTTTACACAGTTATTAATGTTTGTAAAATTACTACACCTTTTTTTATAAAACTTGTTTGCATTTTTACTATTTTTACATTTTAATCATGTACACACTTTTTTGTAAAATTACAATTGTTTTGCAAAACAAAGGATGAATAAAATTACAAATCAGTGTTTACCAATACAAAATTATAATACAATTTGAGTAATTTTCCAAGACATGTTGGGAAATCTACTAAGATAAATTGTAATTTTACTCTATACGCTAAAGAATTATCGCTAGTAGCGCCACCACTCGGCTGTTATCATCGTAACAAAAGTAAAACTTTTAATAATCAGCTGTCAAACGCTTAGGTTACAAACGAGTGTTTTTGAGAATAAAGCCGGAAAATGTTAAAAATATCAACAAAAAAAAATTGTTGTGTTGTTGGGTGTATTTCGAGGGGAAATCCTGGATTGAGTTTTTACCGGTTTTCCAATAAACAGTGTTAATCTGAATAAAGAAATAAATTGCATACAGTCTCTGTAAATATAAATTGTACCTATTAGAAACAATAAATACACATTTTAGTAGTGATTAACGTAAAAAGTGTTAACATTTCAATTCAGTAAAAATCGTCAAAGAAATAAGTCGTCTAAATTTAAATAGCATGTAGCATTATTAAAACCGTTGATTAAGAATTCTTTAAAATCTCCACTCGACGGTAAAATACCATTATATTATGTATTATATACACAGACCTGTGATTATATATAATATTATGTTGCCATGAATTCGTAGGTATATTTTGTTGTTTAAAATGCAGTTGTCGGCGTTTTTTAGAGAACTAAAATATAAAAATGAATGATTTTGAGGTAACATGTTGGTGCAAAAATAATTTTTTACTAATTTCTTAAAAATGTCCAAACTTAAATATAAATTATATTAGGTAAACTTATCATTAGTTAATTCTGCACCAACAAATGTACTTACCGAATTGGATCCTTTGGCAAAACATGAAAATGCAATGATTTAGTTCTTGAAGTTTATTTACAATTAAAAACACAATAATTCACCATGATCCCTTTGATAAAATATACACACTAACGTAACTATATAAGCATTTAAGCGTTGAGTTTCTTAATCAATGATATAAGGAAAAATCAATCAAAATCGAGTACTAAAAAAGTTTTTTAATTTTTTCCTTGCAACGTAAAACACAAATAACGTGCGCGACTTAGCTGTGCAATTGAACAAAATTTGTCGAGTAAGACTTCTGCCTTCCTCTCTTTTGTAAAAAAACTACCTATTTATTTAAAAATGATGTATAATCGGTGCTTTAAATTTATTGTTGACAATTCTTAAATTTACGCAATGCATTCGTCCATCAGTCCATCAGATGGCGCGCGCGTTGCGAAAACCCGATAATTCTTTAGCGTATTTGTATAAATCCTACACGCATTGTAATTTTACTTAACAGTTTGACAGTTTCTAATAAAAACCATCTCAGATTTACAAACGTTGTTTGTAATTTAATTTGAAATATTGTTATGTAAAATGCCGATTTCGGAAATCAAGTAATGTTCTTACATCTCGCCTCGGTTGACTTAGGTGGACAATATATAAGCTCAGGTGTATTTCGTTTTTGGTGGGTTCCAATACACCAAATTTCCCGACATTGATAAGACCCAAAATAGGTCCATCTGTCTAGCTGTCTGTCGGTATTTGAAGTTGGTGGAACGCACTTAAAACAAAAACTTGAGGTGAAGATTAAATTTTTTTAAATCTTTACAGTGATGGGTCAGGAAAAGTTCTTGAATAAACTAAGAAAATTACAGGACTTTTTTTCGTAGTATAATTACAATATTCGTAAATTACTAATTACTAAATATTACTAATTACTAATTACTAATTACTAATTACTAAATATTCGTAAATTACTAAATATTTTTAGTGTAATTTGTTGTTCAAAATAACAATATTTGTATTGAAATATTGCGAAACGAATTTTCTTCAGTTTATTAAAATTGTAAAATATATTTTGTAATGTTCTTTTTATATTTTATAAAAACTTTTTCCTTTATTTTTACGCGTAGAATCATTCCCCAAAATATATTAACGTTATTTCCGAACACCATGTATAAAAATATAATATTTTTGTTATTATTTCATTGTTGGATAGTGAACATCCGAAAATAATTAAAAAACAATTAAAATGATGTCATTAATATTGTCATTTTTGGCATACAAATATTTTTCAAATTTTAGTTATTAAATACAAAAAACCTTAAAATGTCGGAAGCAGAAGGAGAGGCAGAGGAGGCACCCCCTCCTCCACCAGCCGAAGAAGGGGATGTAGGTACAGTAGAAGTCAAGTCTTTTCATAGTGCAAGGTAAATAATTATTAATATACCCTCAAAATTTTCACATTAATAATATAAACATATTTTTTTTTAGAACTGAACCCCTAAGGTAATGTATAACAGTGAAATATAATTTCTCCAACATATAAATTTTAGCACCGATCCCTTTACCACGGAATTTATGTACTACACCTCAGTTTTAAAGATTCTAGCACCCTTTTCCAACGCCAATGATAGATACTTGGCCATACCATGGATAAGAAAGTTATTCAGACCAGAATACCACACTACAAAGTTGAGAGAAAAAAGAAACAGGTTTCCAATCCAACCCAAACCTAGTCGTACGACTCTCTATCACACCATTTTTCTTAGGTACCTTTCACTTCTAACAGCAAGCCTTCTTCTGGACGAAGTGATGACAACCTTCAAGAAGAACCCGCCAGAAGGTCCCCTTCTAGATTTGGACGAGTTGAAGATGCCTGAATGCACTGCGGCGCATTGGGAAACCGACACCATGTGGCAGGATACTTTGAAAACTCTACCTGGAAACTTTAAACTCCTCAAATGCACCATACACGAAACCGAGGAGGCATGCCATGACGATCACGATCTCGACCAGGTACAAAGTTTTGATATCTAAGAGTTTATATTTTTTCACAGGCTGATGGTAAAATCATCTTCAGATTTTGGACCAAGAGTTTCAACTGTTTTTGCACATTGCAAGACCCTATGCAGGAGTGTTGAAGGGACACGACAAAACCCGAATAGCCAATTGGCTTCAAATCCTCTGTTCAATACACGGAAAAGAATGCTGTTCTGCTATGAAATCCATCAGAAACGATTACATTATGGCCCTGCTATCGTAAGCAATACGCTTTCAAGATTGCGTTAAAGTTGTGATGCATAATTAATTTGCTTAGGTACCTGCATGATTTAAGAACTCCCGGACCTTTCATGGACTATCCCCCGCTAAAATATTTAGTTTCTTTGCCCGATGCCGCGTCGAAAATAAACGATCCTAGACCCATTACCGATCCCACGCACCCCGAGGCCGATAAGTTTTTGTGTTCGCAGCATATACCGGAGGACGGAGCTTTCTGCTACATTGCCATAACGGGAGAGTTGATAAACCATGTTACAGAAAAGGAGGATATTACCAAAAATACGTAGATATGTGTCAATAAAGTTTTAATTGCGTTGACTTATTTCTCTCTTCTTGGTAATTGGTGTGAAAAAAGAAAGTAAATCCAATAAATCAATTTTGCATGCGTTGCCATCCTGATTCGGGTCCGGACCGCGTGATTAACTATTTAAACGAAGTAAGTGGTAGATCTGGTAGACGTCATTGTGAGAAAACCGAACGTGTCAATCAAGCGGTTGCCGGAACAATGGACCACTCAGATCCGGCACAATAGACGTGCCAAATGGAGGCCCCACACAAAAAATACTTCATTCTAATATCGGTAATTCGCCATCGATCAAACCTTTTTATATAAGGCCAAAACGTTCTGTGACGTCCAAATCTGTATGGGTGCACGTCATCAATGCAATATCAGCATTACCAACTTTGAATTGTAAAGTTAGCTTTTTAAAGGAGTAATTCTGATGTGATAAAAAATATCATTCATTTTCGTATTGTTTACAAAGACCACCAAAACAAATGGACGGCGCATTGCCATTCAATAACAATGATTTGTTTGCGGTCAACAAACGGTCACAGTCTAAAGGCTTGAACACAATGGTACGGCGTTCGACGGCGTTTGACGGCGTCAAATGTCAAACCAAAGTTGAAACAATGCAAATGCATGATACCGCACACAATGCACGTCGTTGAACGCCGGGTGACGCTGCCAGTTGGCCAACTTTTTACTTTTACGCCGTCAACGCTGGGAACCTAACCTCACTTTCTGTAAAAAGGCGGCAAAGTTTTAATCTGTCATCTGTTTTGTGAGCTTTAAGCATGATTTATAGATTGTCTTCCTTCCTTCCTCCCTTCCTCCCGTAAAAGATAAACAATACGAAAACTGTAGTGCCGTTTATAGATTCCCGTACGGGATTGTATTGTTTATCTTCTACTGGAGGTAGGAAGGAAGGAAGGAAGGCAATCTATAAATCAGGCTTTACTCTGTAATATTTGTTCTGTGCATTTGTTCTTTGGTTTGTATTCGAGATGGATATCAGAAAAGTTTTGCAATCTATTAATACAATAAAAGCACCGGCGATGGAAGATTTTGATGAACACCTTGTTCATTTTATAAAAACGAACGAAATTTTATATAACAAAATAATGCATTATAAAAATATAACCCTAAAAACCCTAAATACACAAATTGTAACACAATTAAAAATTCTCAACACCCACAATCAAATTAAATAATCGCGTTTTTGTAAATATATTTTAGGTTAGATTACCCCCATTTGTCAGATTTACTGCCAAATAAATGTCACTTAGCGGCGTTCAACGCCGTCATTGTAAGCAGGCACAATCAAAGATAATACACCCCATAGATTGGAAACTGCACTAGCGCTAACGGCAAAAGGCTAAAGTAAATTAACGCCATCTAGGTCTACAATACCCTTAGCAATGCCAAAAATTGAAGTAGATTTCTGTAACATATTGGCGCCATATTTGAATATTGATGCTTCGTAGGGTGCCTTTATATATTGTATTTACTGCTGTATTTTAAATAAAACAAGTATGGATATAAGATTTATTTATTGTATTAAGAATATAATATAAAATAAAATACATACATCTATATATACATAATCTGTATACATGAATATGTTTTTGTTTGTGGAGTGCAAACCTAAAAAATATTAATCTTAATTCTTCAATAATAAGAGAATATTGCAAAATTTGGTAATTTAGCTCCTTATACGAGTTTAAACTTAACATATAGGAATTTGTACAAGGAGTGTGGACTTTTGGCAAGTTCTATCCAACCGTGAAAAATCTATCTTGCCAACTATTGGTTTTGAAACAACCATAATTAGCCGGGGCTTGGCCTGGACTAAATTACCATTAAAAAGCAATCCTAAATAATTCATAATTAACAAAAAGTATTTTTATACTAGAGCGATACTGCCGTGCTAAGCCAAAAAGACGCAACTCCACATTTTTACTTTTTAAATTATAGCGCTTTATTGTTTTTTTCCAAGATACGATCAATTTAATAAAAAACTTTTTGGAGCTATAGTACTTAAAAATGTATGTATAGTTAAAATTTGTCTTTTTTTCTAAGAGAATAATTTAATAATAACGAGATGAGTCTTTTTGGCTTAGGACGGCAGGATAGTCAATACTTACAAATTGGTTACATTTCCGCGCCCAACATCAATACATTTCACAAGCATTAACACTTTTTATCACTTTTAAGGCGCAAAATGTATTTAATAATTCAAAAATTATGATCGACATCAATAATTATGATTGACATTGACATTTGCAAATAGCGTTTGTACAGATGTCTGCAATTTAAAAATAGATATACTTCAGGTATTGTAGAACTAGAGGGCAGTGGTGGGAGAGTTTCCAATCTATGGGGTGTATTATCTTTGGGCACAATTTCAAAACGTTGCGTCGCGATTGCGTTGCGTTTGACGCCGTCGAACGCCGTCCCATTGTGTTTCACGCTTAAGCGTTAAATTGGCGATAGAATTTTATGTTTTCTTCCAGTGACGTCATCAAACGGTCACAGTCTAAGCGTTAAATTGGCGATAGAATTTTATGTTTTCTTCCAGTGACGTATTGGGATTAAAAAAATAAGTAGGTAGGTACTTACAAACGATATTTCCATGTATTGTTATTTTTAGTAAAAAATAATGTATTTAAACTCCATAATTAACTTAAACACGATAGAAATACACAAACGAAAACACAAAACAACAAGCTGTCAACCCACATAACATAACCTTTTTCTATGCTGTCAAATATGACGAATTTACCAACGTTGTTAATATTTAATTTTAATAATTATTAAATGATTTACTTTCTTTAAATAGAGAAAAATATCTAAAGAAAATGATGAACAAATCCTTTTTACAATTTTTTTATTATTTAAACGAATTTCTGGTAGTTATTAATGTTCATTATGTTATGATGAACGTCCAAAAAGGCGTGTAATCTATACTTCTGACAACGTTGGAAGCCGTGTTTCTTTCGACGGTGTTTAGAATGTGAAACTATGCTTTACTCGCTTTTTAAACGTAAACAAATCCGTCCATTTGTTTTGGTGGTCTGTGATTGTTTACCAAGAACTGTAACAAACAGGACTATAGTAAATTTAAAAGGAAACGACGTACACGTCATCAATGACTTCATAATTTTGCGCACTGGTACCAATACTAAATTTATAAATCGAAGTCTGTAATTGAATATTTTAATGCATTTTAACCAAATTAAGTTGGCAGCAATTGCAATGTTGCCATGTTTAGATTAAAATTTTGCTTAATAAAATAACGCATAGAAAAAGAAATTGACGTTTTAGAATATTTCGTTTAATTCGTGTATAATTTCGCATATTTTGTTTGTTGTTTTTGTTATTTTATATCGTTTAAGTTTTCATTGCCGTTTTTGTGTTTGTTATACAGGGTGTTTCAGAATAAGATGCTGAACCTTAAGGGTGTGAATCCTTAGTTGATTTTAAGAAAAAAAGTTCAAATAAACCTATGACCTAAACCTCTAAATTTTTGAGTTACAGGGTGTTAAAGTTTTAAGAAAAAAATCGTTTTTTATCATAACTTTAATAACTTCCTAGATATTTTTATAAAATTTGGCACACGCCTTCTAACCATTAACAGTAAGTTTTTGATGTAAAAGATTACTTTTTTTACCAGTGGCGTCCGTACAGGATGTGGTTTAGATATTTTTGGAAAAATATGCACGCCACTGCTATTTTTCAAAATAAATATTATTTTTAAATCCCCATTCATTTTAGAGCAAATTTGATTTCCTGACCATTTTTCGTACGACTAACGGTTTTCGATGAAAAAAATAAAAAGCATTTAATGCGCATAACAATGTCATGATTAAATAAACATTAAAATTAAATTACATTATAAAATAATTTTAAAAGAACTAACATTAAATAAAGTAAACAAAAACAAAAATAATTTAGATTAGCTGTTGAAAGTGGCCACCACCTGCAAGTATGCATGCTTCAGCTCTTCTCCTCATTGAGTTTCGTACCCTTAGAAAAATTCCTGGAGTTTTTCTGATAGTGTCACAACAAACTATTATGCGGTTTCTGAACTCCTCAGTATTTATTGGGGTGCTGTAAACCAACGCCTTAAGATGTCCCCATAGGAAAAAATCTAGACCGTTTAGGTCTGGCGATCTAGGTGGCCACGATTGTGTTCCTCCGCGCCCTATCCAGCGATTTCTATAATGTTGATTTAAAAATTCCCGTGCCTGGAGACTGAAATGGGGAGGTGCACCATCGTGCATAAACCACATATGAAGCCGGGTAAAAGCAGGGGCGTCGTCTAGCAAATTTGATAAACTCTGTTTAAGAAACTGGCGATAACTATTTCCGTTCAATCTGCCTGGTAGAAAATAAGGTCCAAGTAAATAATCACCAATAATTCCAGCCCATACGTTTACAGAAAATTGTTGTTGGTAGTTGGATTCCGTGATGGCATGCGGGTTTTCTTCAGTACATAAATGATTGTTGTGAAAATTTCTTATGGCGTTCCTGGAAAAATTAGCTTCGTCTGTAAATAAAATTTTGGCGTCAAATTGGGGATATTGTCGGTAACCATTTGAAGAAACCATTGGCAAAAATTTAAGCGTAATGGAAAATCCCGAGGAAGTAGGGCCTGGACCCGTTGAATATGGTAAGGATATAACAAATAATCATGAATTATTTTCCACACTAGAACATGAGTAATATTTAAAATATTCCCAATTTTTCTGGTACTTATTTCAGTGTTTTGATCCACTAAATGTAAAACAGCTTCTTCGGCTTCCGGTGTTGTGCAGTATGGTGTGCCCCTTTCAGGTAGTTTTTTAAAAATTATTTATTTTCTCATTCCTGTTTCCTTAACAACAAAGTTTATAGCCTCCTTTTCAGAAATTATAGGCATATGGCAATATGCGCATTAAATGCTTTTTATTTTTTTAATCGAAATTTACCCTAAAATAAATGGGGATTTAAAAAATAATTTTTATTTTGAAAAATAGCAGTGGCCTGCATAATATTTTTCCAAAAATATCTAGATCACATCCTGTACGGACGCCACTGGTAAAAAAAAATAAAAAATCTCCTACATCAAAAACTTACTGTTAATGCTTAGAAGGCGTGTGCCAAATTTTATAAAAATATCTAGCAAGTTATTAAAGTTATGATAAAAAAACGATTTTTTTCTTAAAACTTTAACACCCTGTATCTTAAAAATTAAGAGGTTTAGGTCATAGGTTTATTTGAACTTTTTTCTTAAAATCTTTAGATGGCAAAATAAATAGCTGAAAATGTCTTTAAAAATGGCTAAAACTATACTTTTGGCGATGCATATAGGTTATAAAAACTCTGACTTTTGACATTTTGGTATTCTAAGGTCCCAAATCTAGGGACCCTTTGGTATTATTTATTCAAACGCCATCTATCGCCCTGTAGTTGCACTACCCCTTTCACTTGATGCAATGATTTTGGCATCACAGCTGATTGATGACGTGTACGTCGTTTCCTTTTAAATTACTATAGTTGTCGCGGCGAATGTTTCAAATTGCGTCATCAAATTCTGAACCAAGCACAGACATTACAATTATTGTTGTTTTCTTTTACGCATATAATCCAAGGAACCGCTAGGTTAACCGTATGTCGAGAAATCGGT